CTCGCCTTCCCCTCCCGGCTCGGTCCGGCGCGCTGCGCGCTCTTCGTTCGAGCGACTGCCGGCCGCCGCCGCTCGGCAGTCGGCACTCTTTCGTCGCTCACGCCTAGACGCGTTGCGTCTTAGTGGCAGGACCACCTGGAATCGAAAGGTTTTGGTTTGGCCTACACAACGATACCAAGAAACCCCCACTTATTTTGAATAGTTTTCCGTCAATTTCGAGTACCGTGGTTTTCGAGACTTGGGCCCCTGGAGGCGACACGGTTGCGCCGATCGCGGATTTTAAGGTATCGGCCGAAAGTAGACACCATAGGGAATCGACTCGGTACCGAGTCACCTCCGCCGGCCTCGCGTGCCGTGCGAGAGGAGGCCCGCAACATGGCGAGGCGCTCCGAGCGCCGCGAGGGGCCGAACCGAAAAGAGCCCGGCGCCCGGCCATCTTTCGTCGTACAGAGCTCGGACTATGACCAAAAGTCATGGCTAGGTCTGTTCTTTAAAATGAGACCCGAACCTCCTCGCTTTTTCACTTCGCCCTTCAAAATGGGTAGGGCTAGCCGTGGCCGGGTGCGAGCAGCTGAGGGACCTGGAACTCACCGTGGAATACGTCGGAGAGGCCCGCGCCGCCGCAGAGTTTCTTCGCCGAGCCACCCAACTGGTCAAGGTGGCGTTCCAGTATGAACCAAATGTCGGCATGGCCCCTTCCCCCGACATGGATTTTGTGCTGGCTCTAGCCACGAGTGAGCACTCCCGCCTGGAGGAACTGGAAATCAACTTGGATAGTTGGGTCCTGGAACCCTTCCCTCAGCAGCAGTCTCTGCTCAAGGCGCTGCCCTACCTCCCGGCGCTCAAGCACCTGGGGGTGCACGCCGAGGCCACCGACGAACTCCTGCTCGGCATCACGCCCGCCACCGCGCCGGCCCTACGCACCCTCAACGTATTCAAAATAGGCGCCAAGTGTGCGCACGACGCACTGCACCGAGACACGGTGCAGAAACTCATGTCCTTGAACCCCGAGCTGAAGTTTTCCACCCATAAGCTATGCTATTGCTTCACAAATGATCGTTGCGCGTGGTGTTCACTCGGCTGCCATCGGGAGATGCGGGATGATTCAGGCCCACCACCAAAGCATTATGATGCCGACTACATCAGCATTCCTCGACTGTGAAACTGTAAAATAAGTAGTTTATTTTTGATTTAAATTTGTTAATAATTATTAGTTTAGTAATATCAGACACTTCTATGGAGACCGATCCAGACTAAAAAATGCAATAATGCATTTACTTTTTCATTTTATTATTTGTTTGTTTTTTGTTACTCATAGTTGAAATATATTGACATTTGTTTGGTAGAACTATTGCTTTTCAACCAAATACTACATAGGAGAGGGGGGGGGATGGGGATGTATGTAAGATAAAAGTGGCGTTAAGTTTAAGGTTTTTTCAGATTCATTCGGCCAAGAGTATGGGGGTGAGCTCGGCGCCTGCGAGGCACAGGGTAGGCCACACCGCTGTACACGCATGCACTGCAGAAACACTGTTGCCTACCTATCAGGCGCTATGCGAACTAGCAGGCGTACCGGATGATTCAGAACACGGTGGCGCGTGCTCAGAATCGCCCGGTACACCCCTTTGGTACACCAATTGTCCCACGCGGAGAAGAAAAACTCGTCTGCGTTTGCGAGTGGTAGTCGAAGCGCCCTACTTGAAGCGGGCGCAAACGAGTTGTTCGAACACGTCGCCACGGATTTTTGCGATACCTTAATACCGTACCTAGGTACCCAGTTTGGAAATGTACCTTACGGCTACCTATAGGCACTATTCAGAATACTGATGGCGAATTTTTCAAGGAGCTCCTCAAGCTAGTTTGAAGAATAACGACCTGCCGACATAGCCAGATGGCCTGGCGAGGGGCACGGAAGGAGGGGCGGGCGGGCGACGCATTTTCGCTAAAAGATCCTCCCCTCTATTGCCCCGCCGACGACGGCTGGATCCAGCTGAGTTTCAAACAACCCGGGCGCGGCTCTCGGGGACCTCGGTTCCACCCGTACGCAAGAGGTGTGCGATTCTCGGCGAGCCGCGCTAGGCCTAGGGAGCACTTGAATTTCATAAGTGGAACGCAATGCAAATCAAATTGCTTCCTCTCCCCGTAAATAACACTCACGCCTTCTTTCTGTCCCTCCAGGGCATGGAGACGCTCCCGGACGACGCGCTGCTCGAGGTGATGCAGTACCTGAAAATAGAGGACCTGCTCGCCTGCCGCCTCGTGTGCCGTCGGCTTGGGGCCCTGGCGATGCTCCCGGAGCTTTGGCGGCACCAGCGCCTCAAACTCGTCTCCTCTGACGACACCCCTCGTTACAACCAGTGCTCTGTGCTGCGCCTGGCGCCGTGCCTGCGCGCATGGCACGTCGACGTCCCGCTTCAGAAGTTTCACTCGTTGTACACCACGACCAGGTGTGCCGTCAAGAAGCTAGCATTGAGTATGTATCACGTGTCAGAGGAAGCTGCTCTTGAAGCAAGCCTTGTCATCCGCAACCAGGCTGCGCTCGGCCGGCTAAGGAGACTAAGTGTGTTGCGTCCTTATACTGGCCGTAAGGCTATCGAGAAAATATCTGTGCTGCTCGGGACGGTGGCGTCGACGCCACTCCTAGAAAAACTAAAGCTTACAGGATTCGCGTTCTACCCGCCCTCAGCATTGGTCGGTCTTCACAGGTTGTTTCCCGAATCGTCCCTGAAGAGCTTTGAACACGATCCGGATGACTCAGAGGCGGAGTCCCTCTGCGACTTTATCCTGTCCACGCACGCTGCCACATTGCAGACCGTTAACCTCGGCTACTACCCCCTGACCTCGACGTCAACTGCAACTCTCCTGGCGGGAATACCAAATCTTCGTCGGCTGGAGTGTGGCGTGATGCCCGGGCTGGAGGCCGTGGCCGGGTGCAAGCTACTGAGGGAAATAGGACTCTGCGTAGCGTACGACGGCGAAGCCCGCACCGTCGCCGAGTTCCTTCGCCGAGCCACCCAACTGGTCAAGGTGACGTTCCAGTATGACTCCCATGAATTTATGGCCCTTTCCTCCGACGTGGATTTTGTGCTAGCTCTGGCCACGACCGGGCGCTCCCGCCTGGAGGAACTGGAAATCGACGTGTATGAGGAACACTTCCCTCAGCAGCAGTCTCTGCTCAAGGCGCTGCCACGCCTGCCGGCGCTCAAGCACCTGGAGGTGCGAGGCGAGGCAAGCGACGACTTCCTGCTCGGCATCTCGCCCGCCAAGGCGCCGGCCCTGCGCACCCTCAAGGTATTCACAATAAGCGCCAAGTGTGCGCACGACGCACTGCACC